TCCTCGAGAGCCTGACGAAGCTGATCTTCGGTATATTGAGGCATTATATATAGAAGAAGACATGTGCAAAAGATGAGCCCATTTGGACGCGAATTGAAAATGTTGTGATAAAAGGAGGTTGGGGGTGGGCATTGGGTTGTGGTGGATTTTCGCGTTTTTGTGGGTGCCAGAAACAGGGGGGTGCCAGGAAGTGGGTATGTTGACTTATAGCAAAATCGTATGTGAGGGGACACGGTGAGACTCATGAAAGCTGACTGTCAATCTCACATATCGTAAGAGACGTGCAGCCGCACTCATGCACTCCTTCGGACATGATCTAGACCAAGACCATGAGGTAGTCAAAGTATGCAAAGCTGCTTGGCATAGGTATGCTGCACCTCGCAGCCTCACGGGGACGTCAATATGTCTCAAGGTTTCATGTGTGATGTGAACTGAGGCTGAGACTAAACAATTAGCTCAGAGCTGTAGTTTTCACCGTAAGTTGCCGTGATTGATGAGAATAGGAGACCTCGGTGATCATTCGTCTCAGTCGTGGGTCGCAAGGGATGCTCATATCTTCATTTGGCGCTTCTCTCACGAATTTCGAGACCATCGGACAGTTCCTCCTGGGAGAACCAAAGTAATGTTCTGGTCAGCCAATCTAAAAGGTCATTTCAAGTCCATTGTGAAGACTGATCAAAAGATGAAGCAGTTATCAGAGAGCATCAACAAGCCCTCGTCTTCTCCGGAGTTATCTCCCTCTTTTCTTCCAGCTGGCTGAACCCTCAAATGCAGATGATGCATCTTGAACACACCGCTCAGTCTGGGCATGCCGATTTTTTCTCACACATGTGAATGTTGAGATCGATATGTGATTGAGAGTCAGAGCTGGAGTAATGTGGCTGGCTGGAGGCTGATCATGCACGCGACGGGCCTACCCGAGATGTCGAATGTGAGACAGAAACGGCTGAGGCGTGCTGAATGCTGAACACCAACGGCATCCCACTTATGCCGCCGTACTTCACGAGAGTACTTGCGCTTGCCACTTGGGAAGGAACCATGGAGTCGGAGGTATTAGAGATTCGACATAAAAAGCTGGCTGAGTCCGCTTCTCATAGTCCTTCCGAGCATCCTCTTCGGACCATCACGATCATCTTGTCCCCTGAACCTTCATACAAAGACTCATCTCATCTACCTACGTTATTGAAGCATCTGCTCCATTCTCAAACATGTCTTCCGACGGAACCAAAGGCCCTGTCATTATCAAAGGCATCCAAGATGGCTTCGAAGGCAGTGCGGCTTCCTCTAACCCAAACTTTGCGATCTAAGATGCTGACGATCTCAAGAGGAACGGCCCCTCCGACTCGAATTGCGTGACATGATTAAGGAGAACCCGGATCAATGGAATCTGTATCTTCTTGGACTGGAGCGATTCCAGGCGGTTCCCGAGGACCAGCCGCTGTCATACTTCCAAATCGCCGGTAAGTTGGTCTTCATCTATTTGTATGACCGCTACCAGTCTGATCTCTAAGCTCATAATAAAAGGAATCCATGGTATGCCGTCCCACAAGTGGCCAAACGAGAAGTGGAACTACGCCGCCGATGAGAATCTCAATCTCAACAAGTACGGTGGATACTGCACGCACACTTCGCTCTTGTTCCTCACGTGGCATCGCCCCTACCTCGCTCTGTTTGAGGCAAGTGTATCATCAGCTCATGTACGAGAAAAAAACTAAGACCATGGCCGTAGAACGAACTCTACAAGCACGTCAACTATATTGCAAAGGAGTTCGAGAAGGGCGGGGTGACGAAGTACATTGATGCCGCCAAAACCTTTCGAATGCCGTACTGGGATTGGGCGCGGCCTGGGCTTCCCTTGTTTCCAGATGAGGCTATCTCTAGGGCAAGGCATCCTGTGAAGAGACCTCCCAGTCAATCCGGGCTTCCTGAGAAGATCAACCCACTCGGTTCATATAAGTTTGGGGAGTATTCTAAAGAGCGGACAAAGGCAAAGGATACCAATTTTATTGGGATCATCAAGGTGAATTCGAAAAGAATATCCCCATATGATCTAAGCTCACACCTCTAGAATGATTCGATCGACAAACCTGCGAAGACCGCGCGAACTTTCGGTCAAAGAGCCGACGACGAAGAGCCCGATATTGAAGACGTCAAGATATTCACCAAGCCGAACTTTGGGGTCAAGGGCATGAATGTGTCTGAGCGAGTTCTATTTCTTCTTCAGTCGTATACTGATTTTGCAGCTGTATCAAACAATGGCGAGTTTGGTCCTGTCAAGGGCACGTTCGACGGCTGGGGTAGTCTTGAAGATGTTCACAATGCCGTCCACAACTACATTGGAGGAGGATACATGGGTCGCGTAGCCTTCTCTGCTTTTGACCCCATCTTCTGGCTTCACCACACCAACATCGATCGACTCTTCGCCATTTGGCAAGTATGCAATCCTGGAGAATACGTTAAACAGGTGGAGGGGTCGGACGACAACGTGGAAACGCCTTTGACTCCATTCACACGTTCAGTAGATGCAAATGGTCAGCAAACTTTCTGGACATCCGCTGGAGTGGAAGACACCAGAGGCTTTGGCTACATTTACCCAGAGACCCAAAGCGCGTTCGGCTCAAGGAAGGCCATTCTCAACGAGGTTGATCGCATTTACTGGAAACGAGCGTCTTTTGCCAACATCTTGCGAAGCCAGGCGACTCAGCCACCAGATCTTCAGGCTGTGGAAGCTCTCCGGGACCGTGCGAGAGCACATCTCAAGGCTGCTGGCCGTGGCACTGAGCTCCCGGTAGGCCGTGATATTCGCGGCCTGGCAGTTGGAGACAAGTATCTCGAATGGCTTGTCAACATCAGGACTCTGAAATCTGAGCTGCACGGAAACTACATTGTCAACGTGTTCATCGGCGAACCTTCTGAGAGTACGCCTCCGCTCTTGTACATGAAAGACCATGCCCACGTCGGATCGTTCGCCACATTCGGCCAGGATGAAGAAAGCCCTTGTGCGAAATGTAAGAAAGATCGATCGAAGAACCAGGAAATTACTGGTCAAATTCCCCTAACTATTGCTCTGGTCGAGCGGTACATGGCTGGACTACTCGACAGTCTCAAACCTGAGCACGTGGTTGGATATCTCAAGGATAACATTCGATGGAAGATCACGCTTCCTACTGGAGAGTTGCAGTCGCCTGACAAGGCGAAGAGCCTTATTGTCTGCGTTGTATCCAACGAGGTCACTTTCAAGTCCGACAAACCAGGCGAGCTTCCAGTGTACTCGGACGTAGTCACTGCTTACTCGGAAATCACGCGCGACATTCCCGGTTCCGGCGAGTCTGGTTATGATGGCAACAACTACTAGATGAGTTGAGAGCGAATGGCTTTGATGGAAAACTGTGCTAGTTCGCATTGCCCGATGGCGGGTTTGTCGGGAAACAGCTTCATGTGATGACAGTTTCTATGAGATATCTTATGAGTAACTCAGTATTTTAAACTTGAAGTTCTTGATCTGTTGCAGTCAAAAATTTTTGTGATAGGCCCCGTGAGACTCGGCTAGCGTTGGTGACATGTGCCCCTTAACTGGTGCGACGTTTAATGGCAGATTGGGAGACTTTCCTCGGCTTTTGTCACATATTTCTATTTCTAGAGACCTTGTGCTATTTGAATCGTGCTGTACTCTTGGCGGGATTTGTATCATGTGATAGATGCCGGAATTTCTTGAGTCCTCTCTGTTCCGGCCATGTTATTTTCCTTCCCCTCGGGGCAAATGATAGTATCAAGTGATGGCATCGGGATGTGGGCTGTAAAGACTCTGGAACAAAAGTCGTGGACTACTTATTCTGGTAGATTAAAGGATAAACATTCCGCGCAAAGGTCAAGCGTAAACTAACTCACATGCCAACCTGCTGCTCTCCGCCTTGCCTTCCCATAGGCTAGTAGCCTCCCCTTTCACATTCTCCCTTGCCCTATACCTTGAACTGGAGCAGTTCTCGCCTGTCTCGTAGGCTGTCAATGACGGCCAGTTTTTTTCAGCCAGATCAAGCAAAGAAGCTTGTCCGCTGAAATCCGTGATTGGCCGACCCTAGCTCGGACTAGCCCCACTAGAAGCATCGGCCCAAATCCCGGCCGTAGATCGGAGGCGCCCCCACAACGGCCTCCCAGAGACAGCGCTAGAACGGTGCTCCCGTTCTTTACTTCCCACGGCAACATCCGCCATCAAAAGAAAGAAGTGGCTAGAATTTGAAGAAAGCTGGAGAAAGCAATTACACTCGGCCGGTGGATGGAGAGACAAATTCATCATCACTACCCACAACCCGTTGGCCGAATCGGTCCCGTGATGAGAGTTGGCTGTGTGTTCGGCACACACTGAGCAGATTTTAGCTAGCATTCGTGGGTTTTGCCTAGCCCCCTTTCCAAATAACCCCAGAAGCTGTGTGGGGTTGTACCGAAGAAAAGTTTACTGTTGTGGCTTGCGGTCACTTTTTCCCCGGCGGACTTTAGATCTTTTTTTATCAACTTTGTTCAGGGGACATAGAGCTGTGGGATCTTCATAGACATGTTTATGCTCTTCGCTGGGATGGCATTGACCAGAAACGTTCAGGCGGTCCTGGATCTTAGCCTGGAGTTCACTCATGCCAGTGAAGGCGTCTTGCACTGCTCCTAGCGTGCCCCTTATGAAATGCCCATAGATTTCACTAATGAGTTCAAGGTGTCAGATTCTTCCCCTATTTCGATTCAATCCTACTGAAAACGAGAACTCCAACGAGAAAGTGGCATGCCACTGAGACACTGTTCTGATTGACACGCTCTCGAAGTCGGATGCTAGACCGAGAGCTCAATGTCTTTCGTGATTTGTCAAGCTGCATCCGAATTAGACTCAATGCCGCAACACGTTTCCATCCACGTCTTGTAGAAAGACGCGTCACAAATCAGACTACACTGCATTCAAAGATTGTCCAGGACCATTGTGACGCGGCATACAGGTGGTCAGGGTACCTAGGATCATTGGACGAACCAGAAAACAACCCTCCAAGCGTCGGGAGTTGGATCCCCACCCGAACAAGGTTTCGTCCGGACCATCAGCCCTACCATCATCTCTTCCATTCACACTAGCAGTGACTGACGTAAACTGAACCTGTAGAAGTAGGACTCCACGGTCGAACTGGGGTCGATGCGAGAATACGGCTCGCACGTCTATACACTGCGCCCCGGCGCTATGAGGCGTACAGACGGACCACGTGTGGAGCCGCGTCTACTATGGCAACGCCGTCGCCGAGGACTCGGGAACCGCAGCATCGGGATAAGTTTTCAAGCTTGTTATAAAGATGTCTGCCCGGGCACGATGTTGCTGATGGTTTTAGAAGGCATCATCACCATCATTCGCTCTCTCTTCTCTCTTTCACTCACTTGTCTTTCCTCCACACCGACTTGAACTTCACTTCCTTCTAATATGTCTAAGTACTCCAAGGCGGCTCTTCGCGCTTTGGCGGCCAGAGCCAGCACATCCTCCCTGGCAGATGTGTGCACTGTCGAGAACGTGCAGAACGCTCTGCCTTCCAACGGAACTCTTCTTGGCATCGATCTGGTTCCCTCTTCCATCACTGCCAGCCCGGTCTACAATGCCACCAGCGGCGGTGGCATGATGGGCGGCAGCAGCACCCCCCTCACATACTGCAACGTCACCGTGGCCTATACCCACACTGGCAAGGGCGACACCGTCAATCTCAAGTACGCCTTCCCGAGCCCTGACGTCTTCAAGAACCGCTTCTACGTTGCCGGCGGTGGCGGTTTCTCCCTCTCCTCCGACTCCACTGGCGGTATCTCCTACGGTGCTGCCGGAGGTGCCACCGATGCTGGCTATGACGCCTTCAACAACAGCTACGACGAGGTCGTCCTTTACGGAAACGGCTCCATCAACTGGGATGCCACCCACATGTTCGGGTACCAGGCCCTGGGCGAGATGACCCAGGTCGGCAAGGCCATCACCAAGGGATTCTACAGCATGGGCGCCGACGACAAGGTCTACACTTACTACGAGGGCTGCTCTGACGGCGGTCGCGAGGGTATGAGTCAGGTCCAGCGCTGGGGTGAGGAGTACGACGGTGTCATCGCCGGTGCTCCGGCCTTCCGCTTCGCCCAGCAGCAGGTCCTCCACGTCTACTCGTCTGCCGTTGAGCATACCCAGGACTACTACCCGCCTCCTTGCGAGCTGGCCAAGATTGTCAACTCCACCATTGCCGCCTGCGACGGCCTCGACGGCCGTGTCGACGGCGTCATCTCCCGCACTGACCTCTGCAAGCTCCAGTTCGACCTGAAGTCCACCATCGGCGAGTCCTACTACTGTGCCGCAAAGACCAGCAGCTCGCTTGGTTTCGGCTTCAACAAGAGACAGGCCCAGGGCAGCACCACCAGCTACCAGCCCGAGCAGAACGGTACTGTCACCGAGCAGGCCGTCGCCGTCGCCCAGGCCATCTACGATGGTGTCTTCAACTCCCAGGGTCAGCGCGCCTACCTCTCTTGGCAAATTGGTTCCGAGCTCGGCGACGCTGCTACTGTCTACAACAACGAGACCGACGCATGGGAGCTTAGCATTCCATCCACCGGCGGCGAGTACGTCACCAAGTTCGTCCAGCTCCTCGACCTCGACAACCTCTCCGACATGAACAACATCACCTACGACACTCTCGTCGAGTGGATGAACACCGGCATGATCCGCTACCTCGACAGCCTCCAGACCACTCTCCCCGACCTGACCCCCTTCCAGTCCTCGGGCGGCAAGCTCCTCCACTACCACGGCGAGTCCGACTCCAGCATCCCCGCCGCCTCCTCCGTCCACTACTGGCAGTCCGTCCGCTCCGTCATGTACCCCGACGCCAAGGATGACGAGGCCATCAAGTCCCTCGAGGACTGGTACCAGTTCTACCTGGTCCCCGGCGCCGGCCACTGCGGCACCAACAGCCTCCAGCCTGGCCCTTACCCCCAGAACAACATGAACATCATGATCGACTGGGTCGAGAACGGCAACAAGCCCAGCCGCCTCAACGCCACCGTCACCTCGTCCACCAACATCAACGCCGGCGAGACCCAGATGCTTTGCCAGTGGCCTACCCGTCCCGTCTGGCGCGGCAACAGCTCCGACTTTGACTGCGTCAACGACGCCAAGTCGATTGACAGCTGGACTTATACTTTCCCTGCCTTCAAGGTCCCTGTTTACTAAGTGCTCATGGGATGGGTATCGAGATTGGCTGTTTTCCTGTCATCTAAGGTCGAGATGAGATAGGATACAGGAAAGGTGCAGGATCAAAATTTCTTTTTCATTCATTATCGCTCTGGGGCATGTAACATGTAGTAGGCCCAAGACGCGACTGTACATAGCTTAGCTTCCATTTAAGTATATACATCTTTCGTAAGAACTCCAACATTGATGGCCAAGTCCGCATACCATATGACAAATTTGATGAGAGAACTGTCAAATTGCTGTGATCTTGTCATCGCCTGTCTCCTTGTTGACCCTTACAGCAGCCGGATCGTCTTTCCTAGCGTCCAGGTCGCTTTTACCTTTCAATTCTACTGAAGACACCACACCAACTTCGGACTGGGTGCTCGTCTCCTCATCTGTGGACCCAGTGTCGTGCTTCTTGTCCCTTTTCAGATAGTAGTGCATGATCCAGGTGAAGACAATCAACGCGACTGCGCATCCCAGGCAGAACGAGAAGCCCTTCCTGTACCTTGGTGACTCGACCGTCGGGAAAGTAAGCAAGGGCGTCCATGCCGTCGAGCTTTGCGACAGCAAGTTAATAAGAACCAAAGTGAAGCTCCGTTCCTCGGGGCTGTCTCGCAGCAGGTTGTTGACCCATCCATGGAACACAGAAGACAGAGCATTGGACCAATACATGGTCGCGAACCCGAACCAGAGACCGCCTTCGGGAACAGTCCATATCGTCAGGAAGATAAGACCGATGGCATTGAGGACCGAACATATCGTGATTGACCAGGCCGGACCGAGGAACATATCCGAAGCGAAGCAAGCAATGAGCGTGTACGCGATCCCCAGCGCGGGGGAGATTGTACCCAACTCGTTGATGCGAGCCGCGCTGTACCGTCCAAGACTCTTGATCCAGAGAAGGTAGGAGCCCGTGTTCTTGTGGATGCCTGCGTTCCAGAAGAGGACGTCAGTTGTGATGACGAGCCAGAAGCGGAAGCCGAGGAGGGTGCGCTTAATGTGGCCAAACTTCATCTTGCCGTGCAAGACGTGGCCGTGTTTCTCGAGGCGTTCGCGGGCGGTCTCGATGTCTTTGTCGTTGACACACCATCTATTGGGCTGGTCAATGGTACCGGGGATCACGAAGAAACCGAAGATGC